TCGCCCACGCCTCATTTATTTCACTCGCACAAGCACAGACAATCAAATTAAAACATAATTGCAATTTTATTTATTCAGAAATTTGTACATGAGTTCATTACAGCCATTCAAAACAAAACAACAAACAAAATAAACACAAACGCACAAGGTCTGTGCAAGGCTTTCTTCTTCTTCTTCTTCAAACTACTCCTCTTCACTGGACACAAGGTCTTCTTCTTCAATACCCTCATCAAGGGGGGTCTGGACCACATCGTCGTCGTCGATTTTCACACTACTCAGGTCCAAGTTTGGGAACAGCTCCTCAGTTTTACGCTTGAACATTTTCCAACCACTGTCCCAGAACTCAGCCATTTCGTGCTTATAAAAGTCTGACCGCTGGAAGCTCTCAATCACTTCTGCCTCAGTCCTTTCCCCAGCAGTCGTCCACGACGGACCCGACCCCCCAAACTCCTCCCTCACCAAGCTACTGGCGACCGCGGCATCCACTACCATCTAAAATTCAGCAGATCCCTTGAACTGGTCCGCTGCTGCAACATACAGATCGGGGTAAGCCGCCCTTTCAGAGGCTGCCTTAGCCCTCTCCTCCGCCAACTCCTTATCCAAGGTCGCCCTTTCAGCAGTTGCCTTGGCTTTCTCTGCATCCAACTCCTTCTGAAGGCTCTCTTTTTCAACAGTTGCCTTGGCTTTCTCTGCATCCAACTCCTTCTGAAGGCTCTCCTTTTCAACAGTTGCCTTGGTTTTCTCTGCCTCCAACTCCTTCTGAAGGCTCTCATTTTCAGCAGCCGCCGTGGCTCTCTCTGCTTCCAACTCCTTCTGAAGGCTCTCCTTCTCCTCCACTACCTTAGCACGCTCGCCTTCCAGCTCCTTCTGCAGACTGTTAATCTTCACATCTACCTCATCCTTCTGCCTGACCAGCTCTTCATTATTGCTCATCGCCTCTTCATGTCGTTCGACCGCGACCGTGCAGGCTTTTTGGGCCTCATCCAACCTTTTCTGCTCGCCAGCCAGTTGGAACTCGAGCGACACAACCTGGCAGCGTGTGTTCTCCAACTCTACCTTGACCACTTGCAGATCAGTGTGGGTACTCTCCCAACTTGCACTTTTCTTCTTCAACTTTGCAAGCTGCGTCTTGGCCTCATCTGCCTTGAGTTTTGCAACCCCCACCTTTCTCAGCAGAACCCCTGCTAAGGTGGTTACCTCCATTTGAGCAGAGTATAACCCCCTCAGCAGCTCAGCCTCATTGAATCTGGTTGCTGAGCGTACGACCGCCTCTTTCACGATCGCCACCAGGCGATCTGCACCTGCCCTAGCTGGGCCTTCTTCTCCCTCCAGCCGTCCAGCCACTGCGTGAGCGTGGTAGATCGCAGTCGTCAGACCGATCCCCCCTCCTTGGGGCGCAGGACCCCCCTGGGGCTGTTCTCCTAACTTTGGTTCAAGGCCAGTTGCCCCACCTTCTGCCTGCACTTCAGGGGTGACCCTCGCGACCCCTGAGGCGATCTCCACCACTGCTGGGGCGATCTCTACAACCTCTATTGTGGGGACGACCTCCACCACTTCTTGGGTAGCAACCCTTCCTGAGGTCTCCTCCACTGCTCCCTTCTCTGCCTCCTTGGCCATGCTGGTCTTTTCGTCCATCACTTCCCTCCTCCTCTTCAAGACAGGCTCTTCTTGACTCCTCTTCACCCTCTTCTTCTTCTTCTTCAAAGCATCCCCCTCCTTGTTCGCCTGTTCCTTCACGGGATCCACTGGGGGCGGTCGGGGCACAAAATTGCCTAAGTCTTTCTCCCCCAACGGCTTAGGGCGCGGTCGAATTCGCTCTCTCACGATCGACTTCGGAGCAGGCCCCAGTTGGGACTCCTTATACTTGTCCGCCCGCGCAAACAACCTCCTTTCCTCATTCTCTTCCGCTTTCCTCTGTACCTCCAACTCTTTCCTTTCTGGACCCCCTCACAACGGCTGCGGTCCCAAGTTTAAGGCAAACAGAACCGACGATAGGACAAACTCGTCCCACCTTACTCCTTTCTCCTCCCTTCAATCCCTCACCCTCTTCATTCGGTTCTCAGTCGCCTTGTCCAGCTTGGGCTCGACCGATTTGGTGGGCACCTTCCAAGTTGTACGAACTCCCACCCCACCGTTTGCCGTCACAAAGAACCACCTTGGCCTCTAGCCTTTTACCGATGATGGCAGACCCGCCACCAGACCTCGTCCAGCCACCCTCTGCAGTGTAACCCAAGTGTCCTGCTGGCCGGAGGCCTTGTAGCACGAGAAGAACTCATCTACCGTCAAGGCCAACCCTCATGTTGCTTGCGGCCAGGAACTCGTGCACGCCATCAATATTTTCTAGGCGTTTGGCATCAACTGACCTGGCGCCGCATCTAGTTTATTCAACACATCAACCACAACTTGAGGCAGCGGTAGCCTCATACCTCTCCGCAATGCCTCCTCGTACAAGCTAAATTCCCCTAGCCGTACATCCGACGCCCTCTCGGTAGATGTTGGCAACCTCAACCCTATTTCCAAAGGAATCTGGTACTTTCCCCTTATTCCCTCCAACTCCGCCGGTGTAAGAATGGACCTGTCTGCCTTTGTATGCCAGTGATCTGGTTCTGCCTGATTGATTGGCTTTGGAGCTGCTATCATGGTGGAACCATGGGATCGTACCACCAACTCCCCCACCTTCTCCGTCCTGTACTGCTGCGCTAACTCCACTGCATCATCATCATCAAGTGGATCCACCTTGACATTCGCACCTTCTTCTTGGGCCATTTCTATGGTATGTCTGCGAATCGCTTCCGATGCAGGTGTAAGGAAATTGAAAAAGTATTGTAGAGGTGTATCGTGCGCAACAAAGGAATTCAAACTTGGAATATTTTGATTTTTTTTTTTTTAAATAATAAATCTTGCCTCTAAATTAAATACTTTCACCATAAATTTATTTTAATTTTAAAAATTAATTAAAAGACCTTCCAAGTATTTAATTTGCACTTTAGGATTTACCACCAAAATATTTGGGATTGCAATATTATTATTATTTAATTAATTACTTGATTTGTATATTCGGGTTCTCACAATACCCCCGACGGATCGGGGATGGTATTCAAAAAATAATCCATGGTAAGTTTCGAGCCGAGTACGGTGATAAGTTTTTCTGCCCCGACCTCGGCCTCGTCCCCGTCCCGTTTTAGCCCCGCTTCTCTCTCCTCTCTGTCTCACTCACCTACCCACTATATATATATATATATATCTCTTATCTTAGACTCAGATCTAAGAATCACAACCCACCTCCTCTCTCTCATCTCATCTCAGATCTATCTCTCTCTCTCTAATCTCAGTACCCTTCCTCCTCCTTTCTCTACTTCTCGTCTCCCTGCCACCATGGCCGCACTTCGCCGTTTCATACAGACGGCGCAACCAGAGTCTCCAATCTTCACCGGTTGAGACCTCTCTTCTCTCCGTCACCGGTCGAGACTTCTCTTCTCTCCGCCTATTTAACTCCGTCACCGATCGAGACCTCTCTTCTCTCTCCCTCTGTTTGTGTGTGTGTGTGATAATGATGACGACGATGACTCAGATCTGCAGATGTGTATACGCGCGCGCGCACGTGTGTATGTGATGACGACTACTCAAATCTGCAGATGTGTGTGTGTGTGTGTGTCTCTGTAGATGCATGTGTGTGTCTCTGTATGTGTGTTTCTGCAGATGCGTGTGTGTGTGTGTATTTGTGTGAGTATGTCTCTCCGTCGGGGATTTTTCAGGGTAGGGGAAACCCGATCCCCATTTGGGGGCGGGAGGCGGGGAGCGGGGGGAGTGATGGGTTCCTCGCCGGGGATCGGGAGTGAGGACGGGAAATTTCATACTGTCGGGGATTGGGAATGGAGAGGGCAATCCCCTGCCCCCCGCCGCCCTGTCCCGTCCCGTCTCGTCTCGTTGCCATTCCTAACTACAGTAGCCTCCAATACAGTACAATAAACAAACAAAAGGTACATGTCCAACTACAAAATGTGAAGAAAACAAACGCTTCAATCAATACCAAATCAAGGGGTAAATTATACTTTGCACCCTTAGATTTTGCATCACATTTTATTTTGGTCCCTACATATAAAATAGTGACAGTCAACTCCTTACACTTTTATTCAAATTCCACTTTGGTCCTTACACAAATGTGAATGTCTCTCTTCTGGTACTTTATTTTTAACTATTTAATAAAATCCAGTCATGTGACAAAAATGTGACTACAAAATTAGGGTAAGAGATAAAAATTATCCATGTTTCCTACCAATACACTTCGTCCTACATGATAAGCACCTGAGAATTATATAATACAATATATATGTTTGTATGGTAAAAATTAGGACGAAAATGCAAGAAAGTAGAGTTTTTGAAATAATAAAAAATGCGACAAAGAAATCAAAGAGAAAGAAAATTGAATAGACAGGAGGCTGCATTATCGTGAAAAATAGAATTTTGTGATTCTAATTTATGCAAAACCCTAGTTCAGCTTCTTTAATTGTTTACAATCTGCGTTTTGTTTTAACCTAATACTGTCATATTTTGATGTAAATTTTGGGATAAAGTGTATATTGGTGGAAAATTTACATGATTTTTCTTTCTTACCCTTATGTCGTACTCATATTCTTATCACATAATTAGATTCTGTTAAAGATTTAAATAATTGAGTGACAAAAACGAAACATTGACACTTGTGTAGGGATCAAAGTGAAATTTTACCTAAAGTATAAGGAGTTGACTGTTACAATTTCATGTGCAGGGACCAAAGTGAAATTGGACCAAAAATGCAGGGGATTGATTGCCATGATTTAAAGTGTAGGGGTCAAAATGAAATTTAGTACAAAATACATGAGTACAAAGTGTAATTTACCCCCAAATCAATTTTATCATCAATTTATCTAGCTGCATCTTGGAAATATCACACTCGTTCTTGAGAAAACAATCCTTACGTATGTTCAACAATTTAAAGATTTTATCTACTGATCTGTGAAACAAAAATAATTGTTAAGAGAAATTTCAGTAACAGTCCAAATTTTATAATGGACAGGGTATTTTTGTCCAACTTCGAACAAAAATCTGACAGAAACGATATTGACATAACTAAAATATTGGGCTTAAAACGAAACATAGCGCATACTTTAGAAACAAATGGTACATTTAACCTAGACGCAAATATGTACTTCATACATATGCAGATAGAAATCTAGTCATCACCAGCTTGCATTTGGAGCAACTCGGATGCAACATGCATGGTAGGACGAGATTGAGGATCAGCATGTAAGCACCATAGTGCTAGGTTTACAATAGAAGTTAGTTCATCTGCAATCTTTTGAGTTGTTGGAGGTGAAAGACGAGGATCTAACACATCTTTAAGTTGTATTTTTTGATCCACCAGTGAGGTTAGATTTGAAATGAGAGTTCCCGGATGCGATCCCATCAAAACTTCTAGTGCCAAAACCCCAAAGCTATACACATCACATTTTTCTGTTACTTCCATTGTGTATGATAACTCTGTGATAAAAAATAAAGAACATAAAAACAAAAATTAAAATAATAAATATTGGATGGTAAACAAATGATTGTTCTCATAGATAGATATTGAAAACAAACATGAAAATTACTTTAGATGGTCGTTTTCAACACAATTAGTACTAACATCTCATATACTGAATGCATTTTTTTGAAACAATTATTAAAGACGTTTTTGATGAAAACAAAATCATACAGTATTGTGATAATAATTTTAAATATCGGTCATTATGTATTATATCGACTAATATGTAATAGAATTTTTGAGATCTAGTACTATTATTCACTAATATGGAGTGATATATTGTTGTATCGCCTACCGATACGTGTCCTCCTACCATTATTTCAAACCATGATTTCAATGGATAATTTTGCTCCTACTCTCAAAAGAAAATTTTACTATTTCATGTAGGAAAGTCAATTCCTACATAATTTTTATATAGAATCCATGATGAGAATGACCCTTTAGTTTGATTTATTTTAATTTTTTTGTTTATATAATATTACTTTCATGAATCTGTTTTCTTTTTCAAACTGACCCGAACAACTGATTATCCAAAAAAAAATTAAAAAAATACCTCTTATGAATTTGTTGAAGTTACCTGGAGCGATGTATCCGTATGTCCCTGCGATTGTGGTCCAATTCGAAGAATTGGGCTTCAGAAACCTTGCAATGCCAAAATCTGAGACACGAGCCTCGAGTTCTGAGTTCAATAAAACATTCTTACTTGATATGTCTCGATGAATTATTGGAGGCACGCAATCATGATGCAAGTATAATAAAGAATTTGCTACACCTTTAACAACTTTCGCCCTCTTATCCCAATCCAACTCCTTTGCTTCTTTCTCATTGCTTAGAATATCTGCCAAGCTTCCTCTTTCCATGAACTCATAAACCAAAAATTTGTGCCTTTCATGGGAACAAAAACCATAGAGCTTCACAATGTTCCGGTGTCGTATTTCTTCCAATGTTGCTAGCTCATTCACAAAACTCCTCACCTCATCAATCTCCATGCCTTCGGTTGTGGAGTTCATCTTTTTCACTGCAACCACTTGGCCACTCGGTAGCTTAGCTTTGTAAACTCTTGATGATCCTCCCACTCCAATGCAATACACATCATTGAAATCTTCGGTTGCATTGATGATGTCATCATACACAATTTTTCCGTCAAAATTCAAAAACGAAAAAAGATTTTCTCTCTGTAATGGAACCTCTTGTTCATCTTCTTGGACGTTCCATTGATAACGCCTCTTGTAAAGTACTATTATCCCAACAACCACAAGAATGAAAAGCAATGAACCAACGGTAGAGGTGGTGACAATAATGACCATACGTGATTGATCTCCATTTTTGGTAGTAGATATTGGTGTGTTACATGGCCTTAGACCTTGAAGATCACCACATAAATCTTTGTTATTGGCAAAAGATTTTGGAGGAAACAAAGAAAAGTCCTTACTATCAGGAAGAGGACCCTCTAGATCATTGCAGGACAAATCAATGGCCAACAAGCTGACCATATCACCTAGAGAATTTGGTATGGAACCAGAAAGATTGTTGTGAGAGAGGTTCAAATTTTCTAGGTTTATAAGCTTCCCAATCTGGGGTGATATCTCTCCGGATAGCGAATTGTGACTTAGATCAAGTACAGTTTGTAAACCTACAAGATTACCAATTTGGTATGGGATCGTACCATTTAAGCCATTCTTGCTCAAACTCAAAAACCGTAGTTTCAAGCAATTCCCAATCTGATCAGGAATTGGACCACTTAACATGTTCAATGAGAGGTCTAGATATCCCAAATTTGATAGTACTCCGATTTCTGAAGGTACATGACCCGAAAGTTTGTTACCTCTCAAGCTTAGGGATGTTAATTTTGACAATTTTCCAATTTGGGCCGGTATTTCTCCAGAAAGTTGATTAGAAGAAAGGTCAAGCACTCCTAGTTGGTTCAATTGAACAATTTCATTTGGGATTTCACCACCTATCATGTTCCCGGAAACTCTTAGTAGTGTCAAGTTCCGGCATTGTCCCCATTGTGGTGAGAGATTACCATGAAGGCGATTGTAGCCCAAGTCTATGTAAGTGAGGCTTGGATATACTCCAAAGTCTTGGTCTAGATTACCTGTTAATTGGTTATATTCAAGCCGGACTCTGTATAAGGTTGTGCAATTTCTTAGACTTGCTGGGATAGGACCACTGAAATTGTTGTAGGATGCACTGAAATTCACAAGCTTTCCACCTTGACACACTTGTTGAGGTAAGTGACCTGTGAAGTTGTTCTCTGCTAGATGAAGAGTTACCAAGGATGACAAGTTTCCTATTTCTCTAGGCACCGAACCAGATAATTGATTTATAAACAAGCGAATATCGATTAACTTGCTCAAGGTACCAATATTTGGGGGAATTTGTCCAGAAAATTGATTATCATTAAGGCGCAAGATGGTTAGCTCACTCAAATTACCCAAAGATTGAGGAATAGGACCCAAAAAAAAGCTTCTATCTAGGGCAATGAGAACCAAATTTTTGGAATTTCCTATTTCTATTGGAATGTGACCACTAAGATAAGTATCTTGGAGGAGTAGTCTCTTGAGACTAACTAGCCCAGTGTTTGTTACACTTGTTCCATTAGGAAACAACCATGGATCAAGCTCACCAGTTATCATGTTCCTAGAAAAATCTATCTCAATTACTTGAGAGAGATTGGCAAGAGAAAGAGGCAGTGAACCGGTAAGATTATTCGTGGAAAGATCAAGAAGCTGGAGTTTTGTGAGTGTGCCTATGTCGAGTGGTATGGCTCCAGTGAGTTGGTTTTCTCTGAGATCGAGGCGAAGAAGTTGAGGAAAAGAAGAGAGATCTAAGTGCTCGAGCGTACCTTGTAAACCTGTGAATGCTAGGTTTATTTCAGTTATATCTCCTGCATTGTTGCATGCTATGCCACTCCATTTGCATGGATTTGAGCTTGAAAAATTGCCATTGTCAGGATATACCCATGAACTGAGGATTGAATTGTTGCCTATGCTTTCTTTCCATTTGAGAAGAGCTTCTGCTCCAGATTTTGTTGGTCCTGATTGGGCTTTGCTAGCTGATATTAAAACCAAATAAGCAAAGAAAGCAATAGAAATGTAATTCACTAGCATGGTTGGGGAGGTTTGTTCTGGGGTAGTTTGGATTGTCCAAAACATTATCAAAGGTTTTTTTGTTTGGTGTGCGTGTTAGAAAGTATAAATCTCATAAATAGCTCTTATCAAAGGTTGTTTCTGATTATTTTTTTATATTTATTTGCTCAACTTTTACTTTTGTTATGTTTCTGGTGATGTATACATTTATTTTTAAAGTTTTCTTCTTGATACACAGTTAGCTTCTCTAGTCCAACCTGTGCTTTTAATATTATTCGTTACGTATGGTATGAATCATTACCTAAACGAGATTTTAAACTTCTGTCGTTATTTACTAATATATCAATCAGCAGGTATTATATGATAGCAACCTATATATGATTATATTACCAAAATCATTACATCTTTTGATTGCTATTCAAAATCATGAGTCCAACTAGCATGTCATTGCCACATCTACTTAGAACGTTAGCAGGTGGGAAAACGGTTCTTGTGTGACCACCAAGCAATCGAAATTTCAGTTGACTATGTAGTATGAACATAATCTGATCATTTTAGACTAATCTCACCAACAAACTCATGAATCACGACAGCTCATTTGTTTGGTAATACAAACTTTGAATCTTCTTACTTCTCTTATTCAATCGTCAATGGATCAAAATAATACTTAAAAATTTTGGGTTTGAAATTGATACATCTTCTCTAATGAAAAATTCTTAATCAGAGACAATCTTTTTATATAGAGTAGGATTAACAACCAACGGGTGTAGCCTAACCCAAGGCAAGTGGTCGAATGGTAAAGTCTGGAAGATAAAATCCACAGGTCTCGAGTTCGAGTCACCCCTTGGGGCCACTGGAGATTTGCCCGGTCGTTAATTTCAGGGCCCTCAGGATTAGTCCTGCCTTCCCTTAAAATCAGCGGATTAGAGATACTTGAGTTATCAAAAAAAAGTAGCTAACCTTTTGGCCTTCAAATATTTCCTAAGGAGACATATGGAGTTCCATTCTTAAGAGTTAAATGGACGGTATGACTTTAGTACTTACAAAGTTGAGGGTGAGAGTTCGATATTCCCAAACATGGTGTTTGGGAAGTGAGTTTTTATGAGGTTTTTATGTGGTTTGAGTATTTTAGTAGGGTAGTTTATTTGTGTGTTTGGGAAGATGAGATGGATTTTTTTAGGTTTATTGTATTGGAAAATGTGTTTGAAATGATAGTGGAATGTAAAGTTACCAAATTGCCCCTATTCAATATTTAACTGCACTTAATTGGTAATGGCCACGTGGCCACCATTCCTGCCACATTACAAACGGAAATCTGAGGCCACATTTCCGAAGCAATTATCACATGGTGCAAATGAAGTATATATTGCACCTCGACAATAAGTCATCAAATGAAGTATATATGAAATACCTTCACAATCTATACATTATCATAATCGATAACTATGCCGTAATTCCTAATTTTATATTACAAAATAAATTATTTTGAATTTGAATTTGAAGTCATCATCTAACATACAAAATCGCATTTAAGTAGGTTGGATAAAAAAGGTTAGGATTTATACATTTGATAAAGTGGCGTTATGGGTGAAACATTCCACCAACATTCCAGAATATTACCACTTGGAAGGAATAAAAGGCCATAAAGTAAGGATTCATGGATGATTATGATAATGTTGAAGCCTAGGTGGGATTTATTGCTCTGTTCTGTATCCGGGTTGAGGCCTCACCAGCCAACCTTTTGTATTGGTCTTGTCTTGCACATGATTGGGTTTAATTATAGGTGTTAACCTAGGTGGGATTTATTTTTGAGTTATAATGCAATTCAGTTAAGCCTTCCTTATTTAATATTTTCATTATCAATAAAATATTTATTTTGTTGAGAAAAAATAAAAAAATAAATTATAGATTTGATAAGGATTGTATCCACCGCACCTAGAAGTACTGCATTCCCAACTGTCTCATATGCATTATTATTATTATTATTATTATTATTATTATCTTGCTTCCTTGACCAAGAATTAAAGTAGGATCTCACATTGGATTCAACTTTGCACAATAAATTTCGCATTAACGCAATAATTATATGTATTTTCTGAACCCAAGTTAGCTCAATTACTGTTTAGTAGATATTGTTCATGTATGACATTAAAGTTTACAATTTTTCTTGTAATTATAGGGATGGCCACAGGTTTGGCTGAAACCTTAAGCAATTGAAGTGTTGGCTTTAGGCCTCATTTCCAAAAAGGCCTCAAAAATTTCATAAATAATCATACGTCATAATTATTTCTCATATTCACCCAAAAAAAAATTAATAATAATAATTAATTGTTTTTCATAAGGTCCACTTAAGTATTGGGCCAATGATGCCCAAACCAGATGGTTTTAGGGCACTAGGTATGAAGACACCCCAACAAACTTAGTAACTTGAGTTAAAAAGGCTACATACCCAAACTAATCACTTATAATTATTATTATTATTATTATAAATAAAGGTTCACATTGAAAAGAGCTTCATAAATTTAAAAAAACTTATAATATATAATTAAAAAAAAGCTCACTTTAAAAGAACTTCCACCAATTTAAAATAGGTTCTACCAACATTTCTTAGTTTTCGTTTTGAATTTATAAGTTCTATTTATTTGATAACTTTTGACACTTTTAATTTCTTCTTTTTTCATAGCTAAATGCTTTAAATATTCTCAAATTTTAGTTATGAGAATCGAAGAGACATGAATTTTACATGATAATTTATTAAAAATAATAAATATTATTTACATTTATTTAAGTTTAAAATATAGAAAGTTTCTCAATAAAATTTTACTTTAGACCTTGAGGAAGCCTAAGCCGATTCTGGATGATCGAAGGTGGCCTCCATAGTTGGCGGTTGGAGTGTCATCGGAGGTAATCAAGCTTGAGTTTTGCTCGTCAAATATTTGATAAACTTAAGCTTGGCTTAAGCTCGCTCAATTATATAAATGAGCCCAGTTCGAGCTCGCTTGATTACATAAAAAAAATTATACCTAAATTAATTTACGTATTAAGAGCTTAAATATATATATATATATATAAATTAATTTACTTATTAAGCTAAAAAAATAAAAAAATCATGAGCAAATTACACAATAATATAAAAATTTACTCAAACACCAAACACAAATAGAAAAATAAAATAAATTATTTAAAATTTATTGATATATTATTAAAAATAAATATAATTTATTAGTTAAAGTACACGTAAGTTGGCTCGGACACCCAATCATAAAAAATATATATTTATATTCATTTATTTTCTTTGTGTTCACGAGCCTTATCAAGCAGAGCTTAAGACTACTCGATCTCTAAACGAGGCTAAAAATCAAGCTTGGGCTAGTTCATTTAATAAATGAACCAAGCTTAAACAAGTTTTAAACGAGCCAAACTCAAGCTGTTCAGCCTACAAACACCTAACTATTAAGGTAAATTACATTGGCTTCCCTCAAGTAACTAAGAAATTACAATAACTCTATAGTTTTGACATAATTAAATTGATTTCTCTTACAATATTGACAACTTTCGTGGTACTAATGGAAGTGAGAAATTTTTTATATTACTTAAATAATTTTTTTTTTATATATGTATTGATATAAAATGATACAAGTATGCGATCTCTTACCTAATTATGGTAAAAAATGTTACATATGATTTTTTTTTTTACCATATTTTGACCTATATGCATTAATGAATGTGAGTCCCATTACTTTGCATTAAAAAATGAGAAAAAAAAACTACAAAATGAAATCATATGTAGCATTGCTCAGTTGCCTTTATTCTCCTAACCGTTCATATTCAAATATGATGTTTGAATGTGAGTGATGTTTAGATAAAATCATAATTATGGGGCATTTCATACTAATAAAAAATCACATCATTATTTTTTATCCATTTGATTGACTGACGAAATTCATAGGTCAAAGTTTTATGCAAATTTATTTCAAAGAAACACTTTGTAATTATACAAAAATTGTTAATTTAGAGTTAATTTTTTGATGGGCCAACTCCTCTCTAGTTTGGAACTAAACTGGACAGTGATGTTGGGCTGCAGTATAAGTCCGACTCTGAATCAATCTCAATAATCTAACATGTGCAATGTGTAAAGATTATTGAGTAAATCATCCTTACAAAAAATAATATTAATCGGATATCGATAGTCACTTGATCAGCGTGTATTTGTATTTGCGATTTATTTTCAAAATTATAATTACTATTGAAAAATCAAAGATCCACCGAAAGAACCTCTTGAAATTTTTTTCCGGTCAGAGATGTTTTTACCTTTTAATTTGGTTTTGTTTTGGTTTTACTTTTAGCACCAATTTTTTTTTTTTTTTTTTTTTTTTTTTTTTTTTTTTTTTTTTTTTGGGTTTTCGGACTTGTAAGATGATGACGTTAACAATAATTAAAGAGACAAAGATTCTTCGCATCATACCTCTATTTCTTATTCTCTCCGTCTATTGCTTTTAAAATAATGTTTAGAGAAATTTGTATTAGTGATATTGTTGGCTTTTTGGCTTTTCGAATGGTAGTTTTGTAAATGTGAGCGTGCCAGCAAGGATCAATCAGTCCTTACAGAAATTATGATTGCCAACCAATTATCAGACGATTGTGTTTTAGTTCTTTTCAGCCTCAATGAAGAGGACTTTTACTGGTGGCTTGAATTAGGAGAAATTAAGAGAAATAACGGTAATATGAAGAACAATTGAAGTATTTCATAAAAATGAACACTTACAATGGTTCGAACTCAGCCTCGGAGAGGTTTACAACAGCAATCTACTTGAATCTACTTGAAGCTACTCCTATGAATTGAAGTGCAGTGCGAGTATTTAAAGTGCAGGTATTTAAAGAACAGGTATTTAAAGACTGGAAATGTAAATGACTGGAAAGAAAATATATGAAGTAAATGACTGGTTTGTATGATCTGAGTCCGTCCTTTTTCCTGGGGCCTGCTCTGCTATTTATACTCGTCAGTGATGACCTTCGAACTGCACTTCGATCCGTCGAACTGCTCCTCCATAATCGCTGATCATGCTTCCTTAAAAGTAG